AGACTCTAGGTCCTGCTCTGCTGGAAAAGAAACTAAGCATTGTGGATCAAGAGAAAGTACACAGATTTATGATTGAGCCGGACAGGACAGAGAATAAGTCCAAGTTTGGGGCTAATGCCATCGTGGGTGTGTCCTTGGCTGTGTGTAAGGTGGGAGCAGCTGAGAAGGGACTTCCCATCTACCAACATATTGCAGGTCTTGCAGGGAACCCTGACCTTGTACTCCCAGTGCCTCCCTTCAATGTGATCAATGGGAGCTCCCATGCTAGAAACCAGCTGGCCATGCAGGAGCTCATGATTCTGCCAGTGGGAACCAGCTCCTTCAAGAAAGCCATGCATATTGGCACTGAGGTTTACCACCACTTCAATGGGTTCATTAAGGCCAAGTATGGGAAGGGCACCATCAGTGTGGGGGATGAGGTCGGATTTGGATCCAATATTTTAGAGAACAATGAGGCCCTAGAGCTGCTGAAGACAGCCATGAGGGCAGCTGGTTACCCAGACAAGGTGGTAATTGGCATGGATGTGGCAGATTCCGAATTCTACTGCAACAGGAAGTATGATCTTGAATCATACTTCAGGGTTACCTGATCTTGAAACATCAGTCACCTGATGATTCTGTCTGCCATATCTCTGGAGAGAAACTTGGAGAGCTGTATAAGAACTTCATCAAGAACTATCCTGTGGCCTCCACTGAAGACCCCTTTGACCAGGATGACTGGGCAAAATGGACTTCATTCTTCTCTGGGGTGGACATGCAGATTGTGGGGGATGACTTCACAGTTACCAACCCCAAGAGGATTGCCCAGGGTGTTGAGGAAAAAGGCCTGAAACTGCCTGCTGCTGAAGGCCAACCAGATCAGCTCATGAAGGAATCCATCCAGGCCTGAAAGCTGGAACAGTCTAAAGACTGGGATATGATGGTGAGCGACCACTCTGAGGAGACCGAGGACACATTCATTGCTGACCTTTCTATTTCTGTTCTTGGTCTACACAGGACAGATCAAGACTGGTTCCCCCTGCCAGTTCATGAGGACTGAGGAGGATCTTGGGGCCAAAACTGTCTTTGCTGGTCAAAAGTTCCATAATCCAAAGATCAAGAGAGAAACTGGAGGCTCCAAGATCCCACAGGAAAGATGCAGGTCTTCTCCATTAAATAAATAATGGTGCCAAAAAACCAACAAAAACTGGGGCTGGAGAGATGGCTCAGCTGTTAAGAGCACTGACTTCTCTTGCAGAGGACTCGGGTTTGATTCCCAGCACCCACATGGCAGCTACGAACCATCCTTAACTCCAGTTCCAGAGGAATCTGAAGCCTTCTTCTGACCTCTGCAGCATTGCACAATACGGGTGCAGTCACATACATGCAGGCAATATACTCCTACACATAAATAAAAATTAAATAAAAATTTTAACAAGTATTTATTTTTATGTGTATGTATGTATTGCATGCATGTGTGTAAGTGCACCTGTGTTGTGCAGTGCCCGTGGAGGTCAGAAGAGGGGGTTGGATCCCTGGAACTGGAGTTAGGACAGTTGTTAGCCGCCATGTGGGTGTTGAGAAAATGAATCCAAGTCCTCTGCAAGTGCCACCAGTGCTCTTAACCACTGAGTCATCTCTCCAGCCCCTATGGAATGTTTTAAGTAGGGTGTTTAATTACATACATTTAATGTGATTAGTAATACAATGAGTGTAAGTTTATCATCTTGCTGCTTATTTTCTATTTCTGTTCTTTATTTCCTTTCCCATCTTCACCTGTCTTTGGGGATTATTTGTATCTCATTTTATCTAGCTGCTTTTGCCCGCTAGCCATGAGCTGCTGTTATGTTCTCTTCGTGCTGCTTCACTGCCTAAATCTTTAACTATCACAGCCTAGTTTCACTTGATAGCTTATCATTTGACAAACAACATAAGAGTTTTTTTCTATTTCTCTCTTGTTAGGACCTGTGCTATTTTCGTCTCACATTTGCTCCTACATATTATCTATGCATTACAATTTTTTGCATTAAAAAATCCAATTGTTTCAAAGAGCCTGAAAGATAAGTAAGGATGCTATTTTATCTTTTATGTAATCGCTCTTTCCAGTTTTTATTTCTGTCTGGTATGAGTAGTCTTATGTTTTGTGGACTGCCTTTAACACTGCTTTTAGTGCAGTTTTGCTGCTAGTGAATCTTTTCAGGCTGTGAATATCTTGATTCTTTATTTTGCTTTAATTTTCAGAAGGCGTTTTCACTGGAAAATATGTCTATGTTGACAGGTCTGGTTTTCTCCCCTTTTAGTGTCTGAATGAGCTTCTTCCACTGTGTTCTCACTTGCATCGTGGCCACAAGAAATCTGCAGTCACCTTTATCTTTGTTCGTCTTGTATAGTATGTCTCTTTTCTGCTTTTGTGACTTTTCTCTTTATCACTGATCTTAAGCAATTCTGTTATTGTGTTGTTTCTTCACATTTTTTGTGCTTGGAGTTTTGGGGGTTCTCACAAAATTTGAGAAATTTCAAGATTCATTTTCTTCCATTATTTTTCTCTCCCCTGACTGAAGAGATACTGATTTCTCAGAAACTAGTACATGTTTTCTTACATCTCACTGACACTGGTTCTTTCTTTTTCTCTTGGGTAATTTTCTCTCTGGTTTTTATTGTGAATAGTTTCCATTGTTATCATTTCACATTCACTATTTTCTTTCACATTGTCTAATCTGCCACAGTCATGTTCAGTATACTTTCATTTTGTGTATGATAGTTTTATCTCTAGAAATTTATTGAGATTTTTAAATCTACCTTATCTTTATTACATTTGTTCAGTATTTCCTTTAGTTTCTCAAACACATAGAATATGGTTGAAACAACTCCTTTAACACCCTGCCTATTAATTCTATCATATGTATCATTTTTAGGTCAGTTATAAATAATTGTTCTTTTTTCTTCTTGTCATAACTGTAAACTAAATGTGTTGAGACAGCTTTGGTGCCACATTCAACAGTTTGCTTTTGTTGTCATTGCAAGTTGATGACTGATGTGCATCCACAGACAACACTGACTTTGCTTCAGAGTTCTTACTGCCCACACCAGTCACACACTGTTCCATATCAAGCTAGGTCTTCCTTTGAGTTTGTCTGTCATTCATGAACTATGCTGCAAAGATCCACCTGTCCCTAGCTGTTGTCTTCCTTTCTTTCTGGGTTTCTTTCTATTTTATTCATTTATTCCTTTTTTTGCCAATTAACCTTTCTATTGAAATTTTGTATATTTCATACAGAACATCCCAATCAATCTTAATCATCTTTATACCCTCTTTCCCACTGGCACACTTCCATACTCCTCCCTGGAATTCACACCTTCTGTTATTTGTCTTAAGGCCTTATTGAGTCAAGTTAGTACCCCCAGATGTCCCAAGTGCAAGTTCATGTTCTGAGGTCTAGCCAGCCTATCTAGAGTCTCTCACTTTAGGAAGATCAACTCTTCCTCACCCATCAGTAATCGGTTGCCAATGTTTCTTCAGCTAAGATTGGGGTCCATTTCTCCAGTTCAATGCTGTCCATTTCTCCAGTTCGATGCTGGGGTTTTGTCTGCTTGAGTTTGCATGGGTCCTACTCTTTCTTTCTTTCTCTTTCTTTCTTTTCTTTTTTTTTTTTTTTTGAGCATAATTGAAATTCATGTTTATTTCTGCTGTGCATATAACAAAATATTTAGGCATTTAAATGAGCAAATAAAGCTTAGATATAGAATGAGACATGATTTGCCTAATAAGATATAATTTGGGGGATGAAAATTTATGCTTTAAACTACATTTATATTTTTACACTTTTTTTCTTATGTGTTTTTGTCTCTACTCACCACTAAGATGTGCTGCTACCACACTAGGTACACAACAGCAGCTTCTTGATTTGATGCTGACCTATGGGCAGTATTGTGCTGTGACTGAGTCTGTTCTTGGGTTACAAATTCTTGACTGCTTGCATTTGCATTCCTATGTAACCGCAACAGGTATGACTTTAAACAAGTGATAAATTTCTTTGAGGTGAGCTGCCATTTCCTAGTCTGTAAAGTTAGTCATGATAATAACCTTCCCAGACTGATATGAGGTTTAAAAATGGTGATGCAGCATAAAAAAGTTAGAATGGTGCTTGACTCAGAAGTTTGTGCTTGTTGCTAGCGTAAAATGTACAGCCAGGGTTTACACTTGGGAATCTGATGCTGTAGCTCATGATTTTTATTGACTGTGTAAAATTTTTATACCTGTTTGACAGTTTGCTTTTCGTGTTAAATAATATTTTCCTTCTGCATTCATGACTGGGCCAGCTTCTCTTATGACTAAGTATCTTCATTTTTATTTCCTCACTAAGCACATCTTTATCCAGCAAGAAACTTCTCAGTCTTGAAGTATAACAGGGCTTATTTTTGTCAACATTAGTTTAAATATAAAATGACAAGCAAGAAAAAGGACAGGATCTAAGCAGAAAAATATCTAGGTAATTAGAGGCAAATTACTTTCTTACCACTGATTGTTTTAACTTTAAAATATTTAAAGTTCTAGTTCTAGAAATTTCTAAATTTATCTTCTCTAGGGAGAAAATAACAAACAGAGGACCCTCATGACCCCTTACAAGCCAACAATTGTTTTGTCTCCATGATTTGACTTTCACAAGTCAATGTCCTATATTCAAAAGATGGAAAAAAGGTTAAGAACACACATATAAATTTGTATTTCTTAATTAGCAACCAAAATAGATACAAAAAAATGAGTTCTAGTAATCATAGAGTCAAGCTATACCCTGTTGAATGTATAGATACATTTGAAGGTCAACATTCCCCTTTTCAAATACTACCAATCTGAGTGGCATAAATTTCAAAGATTATTTTAGATTAAAACTTAATATTAATATGAACATAAAATTTAAATGCCTCATGAATATTCTATGTAAGCCAGGAAACAGCTCAATATCCCTGCTTAGAATTCTTGAATTAACATTAGCTGTCTTCAGATCATTCATAAGCATTACCTTTTCTGTAGGATTAATTTATATCCTTCTAGTGATGTTTCCTGGGTGGTCTTCACTCTGATTGGATAACCAATAGCCAGGCAGCCCTGAGTTACTGCTCTGCTTAGGATCATCCCAGTCTTCCAATGAATAGAGAGGGGGAGAGAAAGGTTTAAATAAGTTAAAAGAACCAGAAAATTCAACAATGTGTCACAAATAGTGAGGTCATTATGCCTGGATAACCCCAGATATCAACAGTGGCTGAAAGTGAAAGACTACCCACAACTTAGCAGTCAGCCAGCCTTGCTCAGAAGCAGTGATCCTCTGTCGGACAAGGGTGGCATTTTACAGTTGAGCGCAAAATAAAGCAGACCTTGATATCTTCATTTGTCCCTTTTTTTCCTGTGCATATTTCACAGTGTAGTGATTTGGGGTCCATCACGCGTCACTTGCTGGAGTTATAACTACAGAGCTCACTTGAAATATGTATGCACAGACAAACACGTGCAGTGAACTGAGAAGATTGAAACAAATCCTTACCTTTCATACCAATTTAAAGTTTTACTCTGGGTCTTAATACCACGGGTTAAAATGGTAAAGTGGTCTGTAACCTTTTTTGGCTTAAGTGTGAGGATTCTCTGCAAAGAAATTAATTGGGAATATTGTGAAATGGCTATTTAATAATTTCCCTACTTAGTGAATTAGTTCACTTTAAATAAGTCACAACCACTGGGAAATTTATTAATACTTACAGTGAATTTATGGCATGTAAAATTCTCTGTTATACCATAGGAAAGGATATATTTTCAAAATAGGAACAGTTTCTATTTATAATGATTTTTAAAATTTGTTTCCTTTGTAGTATGTAACTTCTATTTCTCAGATTTTTGTCATGTAAAAGACAAACACATGATGACTTATGAAAAATATTTCTAGAAGATTTTGGTTCAAATAAGCACTTGCAACCCTTGTGTGAATATGCTTGTCTGTACAGTAAAAAATAATGGTGGGGAGGGGAAAGACAGCCCTTGCTAAGCACTCTATCTCAGAAATTATACTTGAACATCATGACTGCTTGCTTAATTACTACTTTGGGGTAACTTTGCAAGGCAGGCATGACTAACTCCATTTTATATTTAAGAAAACTATGGGTCTAGGCAAATCATATTCTTTGGGTAAGTATTTCAATTATTTTTGAGGAAATTTAGATAGTACAGGCTTTATAGTATCATGAGATTCTGGAAATAGATATTGGGAAATTACAGAATATAGGATCTAGGGAAGGACCTTCCATATCATTTCATCCAATCATTCAGGATGAGAAGGTTAAGGCTCAGTTACCATGTGTGATTAACTTGCTGTCACCCAGCTATTGAGTGGCAGTGCTAAGACTAAGATGCTTCCCATTGTGTTCAGGGATTAATCAAATATAAAGCAGTGCTTTTTATTTTAGGGGAATAGCTTAACTTGTCAAGTCAGAGAGACTAACAATCCTTCACTTGCTGCTTACTAACCCATTTCTTAAACTGTATAGCTATTTTTGTTTTAGCATGAAATGTTCCTCAAAAGGCTCAAGTGTTGAATGCCTGGTTCCCAGTTGATAAATCAATCACTGATAGGTGATTGGATCAGAGAGTTCTGGTCTAAACCAGGGTTTAATCTGTTGATGGATTTATAATCAATGGATTCATGTGACATCTCAAGGTACAACCTGGTTGAGATGTAGTTCCCTGGGAATGTGCCTTTGAAGGGCATATTTTGCTGCTGGCCCCTTCATGTCTCACTCTGCTTCCTGACTACAATGAGGTGAGCAGCTGCATTCTGCCATGTCCTTTATCCATGCTGTTCTAGTTTGTCTCAGCTATGGAGCCAGGTGACCAAGGACTGAGACTGAGAAGCCATGAACTAATACTAACCCTCCTCCCTTAGCTGTTCTCTCAGGTACATTCTACCAGGAATAAAAAGCTAATACAATAACTAAAACACATTCTTCTAAGAGGAAATAGAATATGTAGGGTGCCTAACATAATGCTTGGTATATAGAAAACAATCAACAAAATGGTAGATACTATTAAATCAGGAATGAAGTACAATGTTAAAAGAACTAATGATTAATAGGGTCTTTGGAATGGGTGCAGACGTTAGGAATGTCTCATCTAGCATATCTGCTTTATTATCTGAAATGAATTATTATCTCTTTGTTCTTTCACATCTTAATAAGTTTTACTTTTATCTCTCAGAGAATCAGCAAACAATAACCAAGGGCAATCCAAGATGCTATATGAAAAATAGTGTCAACCTTCTTCTCTACAACCCCAGACTAGCCATCAGCAAACTTGGCTGGGTGATTTTACATCTGCAGAAGTGCTGAGGTAGAAGCAGAGCATTCTGTTGTGAGTTCTGGCAAAGGAAAATGGGAAGACAAATATAAGCTGCAGCATTTCTCTCCAGATAAGCATATATGTACAAAGCCCGTTTCAGCAGTAAGACACATGGGAGTGCAATGATATATACTCATTTATATAAGATCCAATTATACATTTCTAAAGCAAAGATTTAAATATTTCTGACATGTAAACTGTGTTAGTCATTGATCACATTTTATACTGAGAAATTTATTTTAAAACTATGCCCTTGCCAAGACTGTATGAAAAGTCAAAAGATGGTGCTACTCTATCAGGCCCAATGATGCTGAGTTGGTAAAGATCTACAATGAAGACTGAGTGGAAGCAAAGAACACTCAGAAAAATGTGAAAACAGTCTGTAGGGCTTACATAAGCTCTGTGCTTGGTTTAAGCATATTTTGGGGTATGAACTAATCAGTATGTCTGTGCTGGATAGCTTTAGTGTCAACTTCACACACCTGGATTGAGGAAGCTTCAATTGGGGAATTTCCTTCATTGGACTGCCCTGTGGCCATGTCTGTGAGGCATCTTCTTGATTGTTGTGTGATGTGGGAGGGCCCAGCCCACTGTGGGTGGTGCCACCCCTGGGGAGGTGTTGCATAAGAAAGCAGGCTGAGCAGGGGCCAGGGAAGCAAGCCAGTAAGCAGCGATCCTCCATGGCCTGTGCTCCAGCTCCTGTCTCCAGGTTCCTGCCCTGAAGTTCCTACCTTGGGCTCCCTGATGAACTGTGACACAGGAGATGTAAGCTGAATAAATCCTTTCCTCCTCAAGTTGGTATTGGTTGGAGTGTTTTGTCATAGTAATGGAGAAGGAGGTGTTGTAAGAAAGCAGGCGTAGCAGGGGCCAGGGAAGCAAGCCAGTAAGCAGCGATCCTCCATGGCCTGTGCTCCAGCTCCTGTCTCCAGGTTCCTGCCCTGAAGTTCCTACCTTGGGCTCCCTGATGAACTGTGACACAGGAGATGTAAGCTGAATAAATCCTTTCCTCCTCAAGTTGGTATTGGTTGGAGTGTTTTGTCATAGTAATGGAGAAACAAACTAGGACAATGTCCAAAAGTGAACGGAATGCTCATTTTGGGATCTACAGAAATCTTTTTCAGTAGACAATGCCAGAAGCAGTTGGCAACTCATCAGGATTTAACTTGCATGCTCCTATGCATGAAGACACCAGGTACTGGAGCAGCAAATCAGGGCAGCCAACAAGGGAAGGCACTAGGCAAGAGAAGCTGTTCTTTGGTACCTTGGTGACCAGCCACACACTGGCTAAGGGCCAGGGTGCTCTCTGATTTCTGCTGTTTCCTTCAGTACTGGAGGAACTCTGCTTTCCAGTGGAAACAGTGGCATACAGAACAATATTGGGATCCACCTGTATCATTAAGAGAAGGATGAAAGTGAACAAACAAACTAAAAGTTGACTTTTATAAATACGCATAATCAAAAAGGAGTTATCCTAGAACATGATACATTCTGACTGAGGGCATCTTCAAAAATCAGTGCTCAGTCTTGTTCCATTCAATTTTTTTCAATTCATATTTGCTGGGTACCAACACTGATAAGCAAAGACCCTGGGCTGTTGGGATGGATATTCTAAAATGGTTTTCACGTACAGTCTCTGACTCTGTCTCTGTCTCTGTCTTTCTCCCCCTCCCTTCTCCCTCTGTTCTTCCCTCCATCCTTCTTCCCTCCCTTCCCTTTCTCCCTACCTCTCCCTCTCATTCTATCTCACTCACGCACATGCATACAATTTCATGCTAAATTCTACATAAATTATTCAATTGTGTTAAAAACATCTAAAAACTAGTGTTATTTTCTGTTATAAAAACCAAAAATGAAGTATTTTGAAAAGGTAAAATATGAAATAGTCCTTGAAGAAACTTGAAGAATGGAGAAAATTTGATAGACATAGTGAACAAAACAATTATTGCAAGCAAAGTCATTTTAATCAGTATGCTTTAGGATTTGCTGGTAACCTCCAAAGGTAAATTTGGCCAAACTGCAGAAAGAGTCAAGTGAAGGCTGTAGAGTTAGGTGGCCGGTAGGGAAGGCAGGGAATGCTTTCAAGCAGAGGGACTAGATTACAACAGGTTTTTGTAATCAATCTGACATGAGAAGACAACATGGACTGTAGAATGGACATTTGGAACAATGATCAGCAGTCTATACAGTCTCCTGAGGATAAACAGAAATTAACCAAGACTTCTGAAATAGTTATGAAGATGGAAAGATGCGCACTGATGGGGGAAGCCTTGTACCAGTATCCCCCGGGTTCACTATCAGATCACAGAGACAAATTATCAGATTAGATATGCAGAAGGTATTTTTCACCTTTCAGTATGTCTTGCTTAGACTTAACTATTAAATCACTGTCCATACATGTCATCTGTAGGAACACTGCTATTTGACAACTTGACAATAAAATTTACTTCCTAAATTATGTGAACATCAATATTTTTAAATAGCAGTATGTACAGGACCATAGAACTATGCCAAGTTACACTTTAAGTATAAGAAATAATGTTGCTTCTATAACAAGTTAACTTACTTTCTAATGTTAAAAAGTCCATTTTATAGTTTCAGTAATACATATATTTGATGAATAGCAAATTACTTTAAAATATAAATTAAATAATTGATAAAGCAATATTTTTAAACATGGCCAGCAATAACATAAGGTATGCTATAGCAATTATTGTATAATGGAAGATAGACATTTTTAAGGGAGAAAGTTCATATGACTTCTTTATATGAAAATGAGAATTCTTAGGTGACACAGCTCACCACATAAGCAGATTTGACATAGATCTCTTTGACTACGTGTTCCCCAGATAGCCGGTGGTAGTTGAAATCTAGAAGGAAATCCCCCACAGTTTCTGAACAATGATAAACTATATTCTACTAATCCATCCGCCACAGGGTTCAGCATTTAAAGTAGCACTCTCACGCAACCTCCTAACTCCAAGTTGCCATTGTACTCAAAGCTCCCCTCTGTATCTGGGCAGAAGATTGTTTTGACTAGATTTAGACAGAAGACCTATAATGCCAACTGCTTCTTTGTACAGCACCTGCTGCCAGCGCCTAAATTCTTGTTATCTCCACAACATGGTTTAATCTTTTAACAGTTGGCTTATTGGTGAAGAGCAAAGGGGTCCTTTGTCTCTGCCTTGGGCTGGCACCCAGTATTAACACCATGCTGTTCTTCAAGAGAGATTTTGCTGGACAGTTCCCAAGTGACTCTACATAGGGCAGACACAGCCAGGCCTACATCAGTGTAACATCATTTTATTAGAAAAAGAAAAAGAAAAAAGAATCCTACCAACTCCTAAAACAGCCAAACACCTTTAAAAATCTTCTCCTGTGATCACATATAGCTTTTGTCCTCCTCTTCCTCCTTGAACTGTATATTTTTTTTAAATAATCATTTTAAAATTTAGACCAAAAGAGAAACATAAAACAAAAAACAAAGCGCTGTGAAAATAATAGATCAAGATCTGGTGACAAAGAACACGAAGCTGAGATGCTGCTAAACGCTGAGCTACCCCAAGCAGGGAAAGTGAGCACCCACATCCTGGGTCCTGATGCCAGAGGTGGACATTTCCCTCCAAATCATGGGTTTTTAAAAAACTTAAATATTATTATTGGAGTCGTCTGGTGTGTGTGTGTGTGTGTGTGTGTGTGTGTGTGTGTGTCTGTGTCTGTGTCTGTGTGTGTCTGTGTGTGTGTGTGCACACGTACATGTCCTGTGACTTGCAAATGGAGGCCAGAGGACAACTTTATGGAACTTGTTCTCTCCTTCCACCTTTACCTGGGTCCTGGGGATCACATTCAAACTATCAGATTTTTATAGCAAGTGCTTTTACCCACTGAGTCATCTCACTGGCCCAATGTGACTTCTTTTTTTTAATTTAATATGATACTTTGTCTTTGGACCAAATATTGGTGAGGCTCAAGAGAGAAAGAGTAGGGGGAATACTCTGACAATTTATAACCTAATATGCCATGAGTGTATTTGTGTATGCACACATGTGGGTAGAAGTAGTTATGCTGAGTCTGATTATCTAAGTGTATATATATATATCATATCTGGTATTAGAAATCCTTCTAAAGTATTGTCATGAATTAAAGTTCTTATTTATTCTTTTAGGTGTCTGTGTACACATCCCCTTTTAATGAATCATTATAATTTCACTTATCTGAATAAACTGTGCTGATGTAAAAACAATGATAAAGTAATGCACACATGTGCTAAGCCAATTAAAACTGCTTGTTGAGTTTTTATCCAAATGACTAACAATAATGAGGAATTTTCAATATTCCTGTGCAAATTCAAAAATAATAAAATAACCATTTATCTTTTCCTGCAGGTCTACTAAGAAGCTCACTAGAAGCTTACGAAAAGAGAACCTCACAGTCTGCAGCCTTCAATTTACTACCTAGAAATTTTATTAAAAATTTTACTTCTGGTAATATATGTAGTGCCAAGTTAAATACTTTTAGAAATAAATCCAACTATAAAAAGTGTTACAAAATATCTTTCTTTGTGTCTGCTGTTCCCGCCTAAATCATTCCCATCCTCTCACTTTATAGCTGATCAATCTACCCAACCCAAGGCCAAAAATGGAAACATTTAAGACATAATACATAATTAGCAAAGACACAATTATACAACCAAGCAAGGAAAACAACTTAAGATCTAGGTATGCAAGCCTCAAATAATTCCAAATTTTTAATCCCAAAATAAGGAAGAAGCTGGGGAATTTATTTAAAGTTCTGTAAAGGCAAAGAACTGTTTGCCTTTTTCTGTTCTTTGTGAAATAAGATTAATTGCACAACAACCTCATAATTTGCCAGTTCTAGATACATTCTGCTGGCATCCATAAGTGCTACATCTATCAATTAATTTGCAAGAAATATGCCATGATTCTAAAAATTGGTAATTCTCCTACTGTTGTCATAAAGAAAGCTGTGACAAAGGCACCTGATACCTAAAAAGCCAAGTCCTGAATATTAGAACTAAGAAAAGTTTCTCTTTCATTTTGGCAAAATTTAAGATATGCCAAACACCAGAGTCCAGGTTCAGCAATATTTTCCCATAACTAGGCATTCCTCCGAGTATTCTTCAATGATTCTTTTATATTAACTACCATGAAGATTAAATCTCATTCATTTCATGGAAACATATAATTTGATTGCCCTTAAACTGAGTCAATCTAAAAATGTTGCCAATTTATGCAACAATGGAGAGCTGTTGAAAGATGTTATGTGCCAAATCATCAATTTGCAGCAGATTCCAAATCTGTTCTTGAAATGGATAAAAGAGCAACAGGTTGTAATTGTCAGAGTTATATTGGTCTCCCACATTACAAATGGGGATTATATGTTCCAGATACTTCTCTGTAGGAAAGGTTTTACTTGTCAATATGAGACTTAAAAGAACAGTCAGGGGTTGGCCACTGATATCTCTATCTCCAGCCAATTTTAAAACCTATGCATCAAGAATATTGGCTTTTTCTTCCCTTCCCTCAAACCCTGTTGTAATCCTCTTAGTGCCTTCTTTACCTCAATGAGCAGCAAGATTCCACAATAAAATGCCCTGTAGATATCTGTCACCTCTGCCTGCATCCAGCTTTAAAGTGCTCCTTTTCAAGTTATTAAATTACTATTCCTGATGCACTGATCACCTCTCTGTAAATAATTGGAGACACTTTGCTGAAAGGATTTTAAAGGTTTCATAGCAAAGGGAGAGCCATTTGTCCTGAAAGCCTCACTTTACTGGCTGATTTATCAAGTTTTTGCTTTTTAACTCTATTTTAGTTGGACCCAAATGTATTCAGATTCAGTTTCTTCTTCCAAGAATAGTGCCAAACCATTTATTTAAGATGAATATTTTCTCATTTTAATTAAGTCATTAGAGTCAATTAATAATAGTAAATTAACTACAGACTATTTTCTGCCTTCTCGGTGCTAGAGAATCTTAGTGATCTTGTAGAGCACTAATTGGTGAGAACAGCAAAAAGAAAAGTCTCCTTTGGGCTCTCTTCCCCTGGTCTCCGTTTAAGATTCTTTTTTCTTCCTTCTAGTTTGAGCTGGTCTCTGTGAAGTGAGTTCATCAATTCACTTACTTAATTCAGTCTAGTATCTGAACATATAGATATTGCTGCAAGCACAAGAGGATGTGTCCTTGAGGAATCTTGCATCTACCAGGAAGGATAAGACAAGATCTTCCCAAGTTAGCTTCCTAACATGAGATCAGATCTTGCTATAGATCAAATATTTCCAACATCTTTTTTAGAAGAACAGAACAGTCACTGAATCCTTTCTGTTAAACTAAAACCCTTCTAATTCCAACATTCTCAATAGAATCTACTCTATGTACTCCCAAAGTAACCTGAAATAAGCCCAAAGCTGGGGAATGGTTGACTTTGAGCCATGAAGAAAGATGCCAGTTGCTCACTAGCCAGCCAGCCTATCCAAAATGTCAAGCTCCATGTTCAGTCAGAGACCCTGCCTTAAAAAATAAGGTAGAGAACAGTAGAAGGAGACATCCAAGGTCAACCTCTGGCCTCCATACATACATACATGGGCAAACACACACACATGCATACAACACATACTATTATTAGTATTAATATTAATTGTTAATAACAATTGAACAGCATCTAATTCAATATCATTATGAACAATGTAAGAGAAATTTTGTGGGACTCTTAAGGCCAGATTTATCATGTATAGTTTGAGGAAAGGGTGAGATAAAGATTTCTTGAAGCAGTCACAAATCAAATAGGGCTAGAGTGATGGGCAAGATTTCAAGAGCATTTATTGAATACCAACTATATATGCCAGACTCCATGCTAGGACATGGCACAAGACTGACAGAGATGGCCACAGGGCAGTGACAAAGGAAGAAAGGGAGCTTGAATTCCAGGTAGAGGGAACCACATAGACATTACGAGGAAGGCCAGAGTGCTTTCACCAGCAGGAAATGCACAACCTGACCTGGCTAACACACAAAGGATTTAACCAGTCTGGGCTACATGAGTTCCTGTTTCAAAAATCCATTATACATGGATATGTGCCTGTATACCTTTGTGTGTGTGTGTGTGTGTGTGTGTGTGTGTGTGTGTGTGTGTGTGTGTGTTTCTATGTATGTACGCCGTTCAAGATTCTTTAATAGCACTTGGGCATACAGAGATGAGAAAGATATAATGTCTGTGTCCCAAGAGTTGAAGCCCAGAAACCCAGAAGCCCAGAAGAGCAAATGTTTGTTCCAAAGCACAAACTCTAGGAAAAGTTTTCATAGGAAAAAATGGGAGTTCTGAGAATACAAAACAGCAGTGAATTCTTTTCAGAGAATCTGAGATGGCTGCATGGAAGACGGTGGAGTTGAGTACAGCCTTAAGAGTTGGGGCATGATACTGGTTAGAGATGTTATCTCAGGCAAGGGACAGCACAAGCTAAGGTTCAAGTATATCAGAAGCCTGTTACTACACACAGATTACTAGTCCAGCTGTCAGGTATGGTACAGAGATGATGAAAAGATTGGAGAGGCCAATTGAGAGTAGGGGTACATGGAATTTCACTAGCTCACAGTCAGGTATGCAAGGTTTTTGGAGCAGGAAAGTAATAGCATAACAAAGTTCTAATGAGGGAAGCCAACAGGATCAGACCTAGTGCAAATATAGCTCAATGTCAGAAGGTTTTGAAATATAAAAGGCATGAATTAGAGCACTATTCCATTTACTCTTAATTTCTAAATTTGCTCGGACTCAGACAGGACTAGAAATATTTATTTTATTCCACTTCTATAGTTATACCATTTCAATTCATATGCTTTTTGAAATAACCAAGATTTTCAGCATACATTTTGCTATGATAGAGACTCAGTGGGTAACATGGGAAAATTTAACTGAAATAGGTTTGGGCAATGTGTCTTTTACATTTTGTCTTAGAAATAAGAGATTCAGATTGGGTGGGCAGGGAATCCTGCTTCTTTCAGATACAAATATCATTCAGCGTGTCTTTGAGTTTTGATTTCCTCTTACTCAAAAACCAAAGTTTATAAACTGACATGAACAACAATTTTACAAAGAGTTTGTTAGCTAAGATATACAAAGAGAATTATTCCTCTTCAGATATTCTTAAAATGTCTTTAATAATTCAATTTGAATAAAAGTTATAGAAAGACAAAATTCCAAAGTATAAATTGATAAATAGATGTGGGAATAGATGTGGGTTTGGTTGCTATAAATTAGGTTTTCTAGATGAGTTCAGAACCATTAGATACATCGACCAATGAAGAAAATGAATCAGATCCTAATGTATAGAGAAATAACAGATAACCGACATATTTTCTCTTAAAGTATCTATATATTTGTATCTGCATGTGTGTGCATGTGTGTTTGTCTGTATGTGCACACACAGGCATGCATGATACAGCAAAATTGGTGGAAGCCGGTTCTCTTCTTTGACCATGTGGCATCCCAGGACTGAACTCGGGTGGTCATCCATGACTACAAGCACTGTTACTGACTAAGCCACCTTGCCAGCAGAAGGCAACAGGCATCTTGAAAGCTTTTTAAACAACTCAAACTCATTAGTTCAGCTGGCACAAAGAAAATATGACAATGAAACTTAAATAATATACTTCAAGTCAAATTTTTCCGAGTATGAATGTGATAGATTGTGTCAATTTTGAAGTACTTAATTAACAAGATGTAAACAGAAACATGTGCAGTTTTTGGTTTTAAGGTAAATCTTTTTAAAATAGTCACTGTGGCACTTTAGAATATTAACTGAATGTCCAATATATAAAACATGCCTTGTTGCAACCAATAAAATCTGACCTTGCTCTGCAGGAAATAGTTCTCCAGGTCCACCTTTTCAAATTGACCAGGTATCTGTTGGCTGGTGAAGTTAAAGTTCGCTGGAAATCCCTCACAAACTGCATAACTAAGAACAATAGAATATTTCAATTTTTTGTTAGAATAAAAACACTTTATAATATCATAATTTATGAATCATATTCTCTACTAGTGAAAGATAAACTGTATACATCATAACATTTTTAAATAGATTTGTTAACTATGTTAGCATTTATAAGTGGGAACATTTATTTATGATATTGGGCTGTTAAACTCCTAATTAATTATTAATAGAAAGAAAACAATGGGCCTGGAGAGATTGGTCAGTGGCTAAGAGCACTGACAGCTCTTCCAGAGGACCCAGATTTGAATCCCAGCACCCACATGATGGCTAACAATCATCTGTAACTCCAGTTCCAGGGGCCTGATGCCCTCTTCTGACTTCCATGGTCATTGCATGACATGGGTGCACTTACATACATGCAGGTAATACGCTCATACACATAAAATAAAAATAATAAATACAATATTTTAAGAAAGGAAACAAAAATAATCTTAGAGAGTGACTTGACATGGAAACTGTCTTCTGTGTTAAGTTTGTAGTTCAAACACACTAAGCTATGAGTAATAAAGGATATTTCATATGTATAATGTTTGGTTAAGCATGTTAGTTTGGAATTTTCAGGAGAGTCTTTGGAAGCACCACAGACTAGTTGGAACTCTAGGGGGAAAAGTGCAATCTACAGGGGTTAGACTTCATTCTTAGTACAGACAAGCCACTTATCTTAAAGGTGACCCAATCCTTATCTAAAACAATTACCTGGCCCATCACTGATCTATTGGAACATACCATACAGCACTGTATCCAATAGAAACCAATCTGGGGACTTTACATCTTATTACAGGGACACTGGCACATCCAAGTTCACTGCTGCTTTGGTTATACTAGCTAGGAGATGGAGTCAACCTACATGTCCATCAACAGATGAATGGATAAGAAAAATGAAGTACATACACAAAATGAAATATTTGGAAAAATTATAATGAATGAGTTAACTCAGGTCTGGAAAGGTAAATACTGTATATTCTCTCTTATAGGTCCTTGCTTCAAATCTTTTGTTTTGTGTATTTAATATGGAGCATAAGCAGAGGTCAGGAAAGTAGAAAGGGGCATTTGGCGAGAGTACAGTCGGGGAGGGGAATAGATTACAGGGAAGATAGTGAGGTAGTACATGGTGGGAAGGTGAAAAGGCTTAAGCTGGGAGGGGAGTGAGAGCATGGTTGGAATCAGGGGGAGAAGGAGAGACTAACCCAAGGGAAGTGGCATGAAAAGCCATATGAAAGCTTACTATCTTATAACCCAACTTAGAAAAACAATAAGTGAAGGGATAGAACATGCATCAAGGTGAAGAAGGGGGAATACTGAGGTTAAAGCAGGGATAGGGCGAGGAAGGGGTAGAGGGTGGGTTAACCAAATTAAAGATGTCTGTAAAAGCTTCATGGAAATCCACTTGTAAGCTGATTTTGAAATACAACTTTCTGAAAAGAGTGATTTACCCTGCATGAGTGGACAATGCTGCTGCCAGAATGCCTATTAAATGAAAAAAGCGGTACAAAACATGGGATATCTCCCTATGAATTATTGGTTAGGAAGGCTCCAGAGGCCTCCACAACAACACAGGCTATTACCATTGCCTTTGCTTACCCATTGTCTTTGTTAGCTTTCTATTGCTGTGATAAAAACACTGATCAAAGCCAACTTGGGGAGGAAAAGATTTATTTGGCTTACAGCTCACAGTCCATCTCAAGGGAAGCCAAGACAGGAACTCAGGGCAGAAACCTGGAGCACAGACCACAGAGAAACACTGCTTACTGGTCTGCTCCCATGGACTGTGCTCAGCCTGCTTTCTTATACAACACAAGACTACTTTCCAGGGGTAGCACTGCTCACAGTGGGCTGGACCCACCCATACCACTCAACAATCAAGAAAATGCCCCACAGACATGGCCACAGGCCAGTCCGATGGAGGAAATCCCTTAATTAAGATTCCCTCTACCCAGGTGTGTCAAGTTGACAACTAAAGCTATTCAGTGCACCTACCATAGCTACATGGCAAGACCTTATTGCTGAAGACACTCAACTCTTGGGCTGAAGAGCATAGAGAAATCAATCTTAAATTGGCAAGGAAACTTCCTCCCTGCTGACTAGCTTTCACAATGCTAGAAGATGCTATGCAGGCCACCGCCAGTGAAAGGTATCATGGTCTTATCCATCGCTGGACTGCTGTGATACCAACTTGCCAGACAGAAGTGCCTACTGATGCAACAGTGGCACAACTCTTATATGAACTGCTTTCTTATTAGATTTGTGGCCTGCCACAGGAGGGAATTTCATGCCTCCTTCTGTAATCCTGGTCAAAAGCCCATGACTCAGGTCATAGGCCCTAGGGTAGAACCTGCTATTGTTACTTTGCTTAAATTATCATGCTGTCAAATTGCTTTCTAAATATTTATTTCTGTACCCACAGACCTGGGCTGCTGTCAGTCTTGGTCAGAGAAGCTTCTATTTGCAGTGAGCAGAAGTCAGTGAAGAGATGAAGAACTGGTCAAAGTACTGAGAATAACGGACTGAGTGTTCATTCCTAAATGGGACATCAGTATTTATCACCATGGCCCAGGGAACATTGTGGAAGAAGAAGCAGGGAGAATGTAAGAGCTGGAGGATGGAGGAGTGCTGTGAAATGCTGCCTTCTGGACATGGCATGGCTGTTGCAATCATGATCTCATAGCAGCTGTGGTTACCTGCACAAGACCTATACAAGATCAAGCCATCCAAAGCCTGGCACAGACAGGATAGAGGATCTCCAGGCTCCACTCCACACTGAGGAGTTATTGGCAATGGATAGTTACTGGAGAAGAAAGAATCATTCTTCATTGAAGATGCTGGTAGATTTCCCATGTTCCAGTGGATGGCCTCACACCAGGCACATATGGGCAGCTCTAACTGAGTTTAGTGGACTATCAAAAAGAAGACATGAGAGGTTGTGGTGGCACACACCTTTAATCTCAGCACTCAGGGGGCAGAGGCAGATGGATCTCTGTAAGATCAAAGCCAACATGGTCTATGTAGCAAGTTCCAGGCCAGCTTGGGCTGCAGGGAGGAGGCCCTGTCTCAAAAGAAGCCCCCCAAATTTTTTAAGAAAAAGAAGACATGAAGTTGGGAAGGGGCTTCTTGGGAGAGGATAAGGAAAACTGAAGAGGGGAAATAAGGATAAATATAATCATACTTCATTGTATACATATGTGAAATTTTCAAAAATAAAGGAAAATAAGAAACCAGTCTGGGGGCTAGTAATAGCAAATTTAGCAATACTCTGTGAAATATGAAAAATAAGAGCATGACTATTATATTTCAAATGATCCACTTTTGAGTTTAGAAACTTCAGATGGGGTATAAAAATTAACTAAATTATCAAACAAATTTAGTTGGCATTAGTAAAGGTAGCTTCACATTTGTTACACTTAGGGACCTAGATCTAATTTGAATTCATTCTGTAAAATAGTAGTCACTGTATCCAAGGAAGCAAAATTAAAAAGAGCTACAAGATGGGGTAGGCTATGTAGCTTAGTGGTAGAATAGGAGAGGACACAAGTTCAAATGTAAATTCCTAGCAGAAGTTTAAGGGAAAAGCTTTTGGCAGATTTTCTTTTAAAAACCTGTTCATTCATTATTTGTGTGTATGAGCGTATATGTATGCACACACGGGCACACTTGCATGTGGTGGATGCACATGTGAGGAGGTCAAAGGACAACTGTGTGGAGTCAGCACTCTTCTCCCACTGTAATGAGGGTTCTGAGGCTCGAACTTGGTTTCCAGGCTTAGGTAGCAAATGCCTATCCGTGCTGAGCTATCTCACCAGCCTGGTTCTAGGCAAATTTAACAGCTTGGAAAAAGATTCTTGCACACAAAAGAAATCTTCCTATAAATGGAACAATGGTCATTTATAAAAAGAATGGTGATGAGTTATTTTCTGTCTACCAAAAAAGAAAGAAAGAAAGAAAGAAAGAAAGAAAGAAAGAAAGAAAGAAAGAAAGAAAGAAAGAAAGAAAGAAAGAAAAGAAAGGAAAGAAGAGAAAAAAGAATAACTATATCCAAATCTTTCATGAAAAGTGCAAGCAGTCAATGGGGGCTAGAACCGTGGTTTAAACCAATCCTAAGGAAGACCAACTATGCTTGTCACTGTCTAGAATGAGCAGCCTCATCGGACTGCTTTTGGCTTTCTGTCTATGCCCTGCCTTCTTAGCTGTATATTAAAGTTGTAACTGTTTAAATTGTTTAATTTAAATAAATTAAATTTTCAGTTCCTCAGTCCCAGTAGTCATGAAACGTGCATCCACCAATAAGAAGCCCTTCTGGACTGTGCTGGACACGGGGAAGCATCTAGATCCTTAAGACTGATGATGTGGGTTAGAATCCTGGTTCACCAGGTGCCAGGGTGTGACACTGAGCAAACTACCTCTTTTTGTCTTGGTTTCTGTCTCTAAAAAATGGAATAATAACAGGGACTTCTGTGATTAAAACTCTCATTTGAGAATTAAATAAAATGTTACACAATTAGTTTATGATTTTGTATGGCATGCAATCAACTCTGACAGAGTGACAGCTTTTATTATTTACAGATAAGAAACTGGCACCCATCTGCTCATAGCAGTCATGAGCGAGATGAGGCTAAACTCCCAGATCCTCATAACAATTCTCCACTCTTCCTTCCACTGTGCCATGGAGCCCCAAGCACACTTTATTTGTTCTCATTTTATCATCATCAAATCAAAGGTGTAAATGTAAGGATTCGAAGAGAACATATTATTTTATATTTTAATGAATCCACTTAAGGTTACTGATTTGGAAATAACCATTAAAACAGTTTTTATATTCCAAACAAAATTGTGACTTCTTCAAAGCAGAAACTGCTCACTACATCATATGATTTCTTTAAAAAAAAAAAAAAACAACAACAACAACAAAGGGAAGTCTTTCAGGCCTGACCTCATTATATCATGAAGCAAAAATATAACAAGAAATTGCTTAAAGATATTTAAAGAATTTATTTTAGTGCTTCAAATCTCTCAGTCTGGAAATCTTGAATTGGGTGATAGCTTACTTTAATTATACACATATTAATTTACTCATCATATCCGAGTCTTGGAGCAGCATTAGCATCCAGGAAGGTCTTATAGACAACAGTGACGCCATCTCTGGCAAATGCAGCCACTTGGTCAAAGGTCAGAGTCAAAACAGAGTTTAGTGAGATCTGAAAATAGAAAAAAATATTAAATCTACCTGCAGATAATACATATTGAAAGTTGAGTGCAATAAGCAATAAGGTATGGAAATCAGTGCCTAATAAAATGCACTACTGTTGGTATCTTATATTGATACCTGAAATCTACATTATAGTTTATTTAGCTGATTCATGATGTGCAAAAGATAGTTGCAACTTGTGTAATTTAAAAATAATTGCAACAATGAAAAAAATTTAATTAAAAAATAAAATTGATTTTTTACATAATTTATTTGTCATGTATAACTAATTCATATATATATATCCACAGTGATGTCTGGAACTGGTAATTAAATGATTCCACAATATTTCACTATAAACAGCTATTTTTTGTGAGCTCACTAAGTATTATTAAATCTTAAACTGATTTGAGTTTCACATCTATTATTGGGCACATTGTTTTAGGTGAATTTGAAAATTAAAATCAAATTGAAAATATTTTAAATATAATGAATGGTCTTCTATGATAATTCTTCTCTAGACTGATAAACATTTAGTATTTAATTCTAGAATTAAAGGACACAACCACATCATCTGTGAATCTTATTGCCAAAAATATTTAAACTGAATCTAGCCATGATAAAACAGACAAATCTAGCACATGGGACATTCTATCAGAAAACTGCTTGAATTCTTCAAAAACAAACTAGTATGATGAGAAGCAAAGTATAAGTGGAAGGAATAGTTTAAATTAAAAAGAGCTATAGAAGATAACCAAATGTAAAACAGGAAGCCTATTTGGATACTGGGTTATACAAAGCTCGACAGTGCATTTTGGGTAGCTCAAATACAAGCAGTATGTTAGACAATAATATATTATTATAAAGTGCTAGATATTTTAATGTGGTTTTGTAGAAGAAGATCCTGTTCTTCAAGCTGCTGAAGCATTTAGTAGTAAAATGTTCATAATAGTCTAGAATTATTTTCAAAGGGGGTAAACAAATATGGAAATCTCATTAAATGGGTGAATCAAGATCAAGAATGTATATGGATTCATTTTAATATTCTTTCCAAAGAATATTAAATTTCTATTTTTCAAAATAGAAATTTGGGAGGAAAATTCAAATATTGACAAATATTGGTCTGTACAAATTAATAGACTGACCCTTTATGTCAAAATTAATTATATGTACTAGAATTATTCCCAAAAATAAACACTATTTACTTAGCCCATATTTTATATTTTCTCAGTATATTTTAAACTAGTGGGTAATACATTTTTTAGAAATACAAATTTTAAAATTCAGCTGGTGGCAAGATGCTGTCGTGGCTCCTTTATGCTCTAAATCACATTAGCATTTTATATTTAAAACAAAAATAATTCTATTAAAATAGCTATGTAATACAAGCAAATACATGAACTTAAAATTTCTCCAGCTAAAACCATCAACTGATTATAGACTAATCCATATTATGTACTACATAATAAAAATAATGCCAGGAGTAGCCTTTTGCTATTCATTTCACAAATATAATGAGCTAAGTATACGTGTTTGATCTTTAAAAATACTGAATTATAGAAACATCTAGTAAGTTGCTGCTTTCACTTTAGCAATGACATTAAGAAGAAATAATGCTGACATATATTTGATTCAAGTCTTTCCTTGAAAAAAAAAAACTAGAAGGGAATACTATATTATATAAGAGTTTTTGCTACTGTAAAATCTCTTATTGTTTTTATCATTGTAAAAACAATTCTACTCACAATGTAATTAATCTCTTGAAATTTGCCTATAATAGAATAATGTTAAATTCCTTAATGATATCTTTAATTCTATAAATTATAAGGCATAAGGAATCAACACATATCTTAATTTTATTCTATTGGGACAGACGGCACAAAATTTTGTAGCATGCCATCAAAAATTACCCTATCAACTTTCCCTAATACTTCATGGATTTCTAAGAATATTGTTGTTTTAATAGGTGAAATTTTGAACAAATAACAAATCCAATCAGTTCTCAATTTGCTGAAATGTAGGTCTGTTTCTACAGTTTTCAATGTAATTAAAGTGAGATCAATTATACCCTACACAGAAAATGATTTCCCTTATTCTGCTCTACTACTAAATAATAAGCTAAGAAATTAAAAATATGCCAGAAAAAGTGTGTTTAAGTTTCCTGACAAGCAGTTACAGAATTCATCTGGATGTATCCTGTCAAAATATGCATAAATTCCCAAGATGTTCAGCACAAGAGTCCAGCTCATCAGCGCCTGGATATCGCTGCCTTCCTTCCTTCAGAGATACAGATAATTTTATGCAGGAATTTACCAATCTACAAAAATTTACACAATGCTCAGCAATAACCAGTAATTATTGTGAAATAATGCAAAGCACCATGGAGGAATATAACTTCCATAGGAGAGGCTTACAGGCTTTACCAATTTATCTTTATGGTCCTGTCACTGGTGCTTAAAAGGTTAAGACTTTATTTGTGAAAACATAGAGATATAGTGGGGAATCATGTTGTCTACAGCTTTATAAATCTTGCTTAAGATCCTTTTCAATTACCATCCATTTCTCCTTTAAAAAGGGACAAAAAAATAGAGGAGAGGAAGCAGGTCAGGGCAGTGTGCGACAATGACAGTGTGATGGGCTTGGGCCCCCTGTGGCGTTTCCATCTGCTATCATTAAGGTGACTACTCAGACATGAACAAATCCCTCTTGCTGTGCTGACAGGCAGACTTCAAGAACTATGACAAGGCATTAAGACAGAACGGGGGGGGGGGGGGGTCAGTCATAGTCCGTAAACAATGCTGTCTCACACACACAAAAAAATGCCCCTGAAATTTTATCAGAATTCAAAATACATTTTTTAATGCATTCAGGGCGTTACTTGGTTTCTCAACTTTCCTGCTAAAGTAGCTCACCCCTGGAAAGGCCTAGGACAGAGTAAACACCTTGCTCCTACCTGTATGCTTTCCCATAAGAAAGCCATATTTTTTGCTCATTCCTCAGCAGCAGTGGATTCTTAATTTCTTGACCATGCTCATCAAAAAGCCGGACTGAAGAAAAATTGAGGCCTTGTGAGCTGGAAGCCCCTTGAAGACTTTGATGGAGCTTGAGAAGCAGCTGATGGAGGCAAGGACCGGTGAAGGGGAGGGAGTAGAAGACACAGCCAAAGTGTGAAAATCTGTGATAAACTGTCTCTACTCTAACAAACGAAGTCCAAACAAATGCTAATTAAATTCATATAGAATGTTAAAAGAAGTGAGAAATGAAGGCAATGTTTAGCTCAGTGTAAAGTAACAAAGTGAGAGTGGGCTTTTAACCAGCAGGGGGTGCCACAGGCTTGTGATTGAGCTCTGACCCTTTGGCACAGGGACTGAAAGTAAATGTGACAGTCTCGCAGAAAGAGCATTTAGCTTCCACGCACAGTAATAGTCCTCTTTGATGAGGGTTATGCTTTTCTTGTCTGAGCCACAGGATTTGGCAGGGGCCTTCCAGACCAAATTAAAGTTTTACAGTAGGCTATCCTCGTTCACCAACAAGCTCCAGGTGGGGGTAATTTACCACTTACAGGACTGCAACAATAAACATAAACTCAGGCTAAGTTGACTAAAAATTCTTCTACAAACATTTTAATTGCAAGCCCTACAAAGCTCAGGAATGTTTACAGGAATGGATGTTTGCAAGTTCAGAATAAGACATCATTAGATTGCGCACGACCTATGAAATGATGTCATTTGATGTTTTTAAAAATATTTTATTTATTATTTTTATTATGTGTGTATGAGTATATTGCCTGCATGTATGGGAGTGCACCCGTGTCGTGCAATTGCTGATGTTTTAAATGCCAGCAATGACAGGGTTTTGCTTCTGCCTTATAAGCAGAGATTACATTATCAAGAGCTTGAATTTAAGACACAATTCATACCTAAGGTAAATTAAATAAACTGTGGGCACGTGTGGTATTTTAAAAAGATATAGTCCGTTGTCATCTTCCACCTTTGTTTCTGCACTCTGGCCCTGCCTGTCCTGCTTGGAAGCGCACACTGCCCAGCACTCTCCCTGCCTTCCATCACTGGCTTCCTTTTCTTCCCTTCCTTGTCACTTCTCGGGGTCTTGCAATTTCTTATTCTGTAATCCCTGCAGGGCCTTGGGTAGAGTTTTAGTCCTTTCTTGCCTATCTGTGGCTCAGAATTTCTTTAATTTTTTTTCCTTTTTTCCTATTAATTTCCACTGAAGGCATATGAGTGCTAAATACCGAGGCTCAAAAGAAAAGAAGGGGCAAGTTTCAGTCCCCATATACAATTCAGGTGTCTGGTTAGTTGACTATAAATTCTTGACTAAGTACAATAATAATTTTTTTGATCAGCAGCTACTCTTACAGAACATCTAAGAATTGAGCATTGTTCCAGTTAGAGAATATAATGATATCTCCAACTTCAAGTCTTCTGCTGTCTTTATTGCGCCAAACTTTTAGTGCTGAGTAGCAAAAGACTAGAAACGTGGACACATTTCTTATTTCATTAAAGTTAATATTCCTCAGCAAGCAGAACCAAATCCAATGTACTCACAATGGTGTTTACTATCCTTTAAGCTGTTTGAGAGGCAAAGGCATTAGTGAAAACCTGCACTGTTTTGTTTTCGTGGGAACTGCACACATATCTGAAATCTATGTACTGTATTTTCAAAGCCCTGCATTTACTTCTGTGTGGTGTCAACCCTTGAGCTTAGTTTGCTACATTGCTATCATTTCAGAAAACATGTAATACTGGTCATTTTTTAAATCACAAAGATTTTGCTTTACAAATATCACTTCTTGGTAAAGGGGAAAGATACAAAAGATCTAAGGCCTGACCTTAGAAAAAAATATGTGCACAAAGGCCAAAAAGCCAGGAATGTGCGGAGGAAGTGGGCTGTGAGTACCTGACCACTTAACCAAATTAATTCACTTTCACAGGAGTTGTGTTGCAATCTCTATTTTCTCAACTTGGTGACAGACTGCACTTTAGGTGTTCAGAGATGAACATTTGGTAGCCTACAGGAGGTAAAGGCCCTGGTGCCTTTCATCTGTAGGTCATTGAGTAGGGCTGGGATGTGGAAACCAAAAATTGTGATAATCTTCATCCATTTATCTTTAAAGCTATGATCACCAGGCCTTTATAGGATAAGAATTTGTTCCGAGATCTGCGAAGAGTATGACGTTTCTTAGGATAGTGACTGAGGGAACTATGAACACAAGGGAGTGGTCTTGTTTATGTATCACAAAGTGCTCTCCCTAACAAAGACAGCTACACTGCCTGTAATTCAAGTTCTGTACACCACCCCCAGACTGACTTGCAAATAGAAGCAAAGCACAATTTCAGTGTATCATTAATCAATTCACCAAGTTTCCATGGAATTGCCTTGTGTAAGCCAAGTCCAGTTTCAACCATTTACTAAAATCTAAAATATTCTAATAGGAAAAGGCTAGGAGACAGGTAGAAAAATCTAGAGGGGCTTTTGTACATTGTAATTTGTATCAAGGTATGAAAAAATAAAAAAAACATGTAAAGCTGTGGATCTGTCTCTAATCAATCAAGGTAGCATTTTCCTGGCTCCTCCGGTTCAGCTAACAATCCAAAGACAGTCACACACCTGAGACACAACTTTTGTGATTGGCTATACAAGCCAGAGATGAATACTTCCAGGGAAGATAAGCCTGAGGGCGCGAGGCTTAAGGGAGAGAGGAGCAAGCGTCTGAACAAAGACTGGTAACAGAGCCCAAAACACTAGTGTGCACTTAGGCTCATAACCCCAATTTGTAAGCAACAAAGGTGTTAGTACCCCTTTATGCAAAACAAAGGCCCCAAATAAAGACCCTGAACATGTTGGTTCTGACTGAAAAACATCCCAATTGTCTGAAAAATAGGCAAAGGTAAGAGTACATAAAATAAACCAGCGGGACTTGCTCACAGTGAGCACAGAAGATCAAGGCTGTATGTTAGTCAGTCAGGGTGCTCAGCTTAGAGACAGTGCAAACCCAGAGTATCCCCTCCACTATATAGCATGCCACTTCTTTTTAAAGCAGAGAGAGAGAAAATCAGAGACTGAAAGAGACAGAGAGAGAGAAGGGGGAGGGATCCAGCAATCTTGTATTTAAACCAATGCCTAGAAACGTTTTCAAATACAAACACAGTGATGGTTAAGATGTTGCTAGGTAAAGGTCCAAGAGTTAATACTCCACTATAGCTCAGCTTTCGAATAAATGACTGAACTTTTATAAACTACGTTAAGATATAATTGCCTACATTAGCTGTAAGGTGCATGGGAAATACATTCATAAACAATACTCACTCTTTGCATTGTATCGTCACTTTGAGTTGGGCTATTAGACTCTAAATCTTTTCTACTGATATAAATTGAGATCTCTCCAGTATCTTTACCATTTTCAAATACCTAGGAAACAAACACATTGAAAATAAAAATAAGTACATGTACACACATATAAAGGGAACTGTACAAAGCAAAATAATAATAATAATAACTGTATGAACACGTGTACATAATTGAAAATCAAGAGTATTAAAATGAGCAAAATCAGGCTGAGAGTTTCTTTGGTTTCAATAACTAATCTGATTCACATTCCCAACCATCTTAAAATAGAATAAAACTCAGACGTTGAAGGAAGAATCACTCACCACAGAAGATGCCTAAGTGGAGAAAACATCAGCAAAATGGTCAGCTAACAACCAATTAACTAGTTCATTTCAATCTCCTTGGAAAAATGTAAAGCCACAAATGACATGAAGAATGTTCATGTTGTATTTAAAATGTATCACTAAAGGGAGATTAAACCTGGCAAATTGTTGCATAACAGGACAGTGAAAGTTGATCCATTTTATGTGCACATATTCAATGAGTTGTTGAGAAAAAGAGATAAAATATTGCATCACGCAACAGTCACTGGACCAAAAAAAAAAAAAAAAAAAAA